GGCGATTGTTCGGAATCCGTTCGTGAGCGAAGAGTGGCACCGTCGACATTTTCACGTCGTATTTCTTCTTCGGTTTGGGCTTGCCATCGGGTTGGGGTTCCGAGACCGTGATAGCGCCGTCGAGCTCCGGTTCCAGGACAGTCTCATCGAACATCTGAGCGCTCTAGTACATCTAGTTAGAGCTGCTCACAGCCATTGACAGCGACCAACCGTTTGACACCACTCGAAATCTTTTACATGAACCTTGATTTCCTCCATTTGTGCATGCTCAAAGCAACGGTGGACGAACTACAAAAGGGCACAAGTTTATCAGTGTCAATATCGTTCCTTCAGGTGATGAAACTCTCCAGTACCTTGGAATTGCTCGCACAACCCCGCATAACCACCTCAGCGGTAGGCTTTTCATCATGGAGGATGACACCGATAGATTGAAGTGCCGCACAGGTTAGAGGACAAATGGTTCCTAGATGTTCCAAAAACCCGAGTGAGATTTGACAGACCGCTCCAGTTTGGTCGGCTAAGAGCAGCGGGAAGACCAGGGAGATGTCCACTGAACGTGAGCGTACGCAAGTTTATCAACTTGGCAAGAAGGCCTGCCAGGGCCTCAGAGTGCTGGTTCGCTGTTGTCGTCGACTTGGCAAGAAGGCCTGCCAGGGGGCCTACCAGGACCGCAGAGAGCTAGATCGCTTTTGTAAACCGCATATGCATGATCGTGGTTGGCATTACTGCAAACAAGGGCTCCAAAGAATCCAGATATCCGAACTGAGCATTGCGCTTACGGCCATATCCAAAAATGATAGGTTCTTCAAAATCGATGGCTTGAAGAGAAGGACCAAGCCATGCGGACCAAAATGGCAGATACTCTTGGAGTGCGATGTCCCTGGCACCGGTTGCGAAAGGGATTTGGGTCCGGACAATCATCCTGTAGATTTCTAGGCATTGGAGGCCCGCATGGGTTCGGACAGGCATTTCGGATAGCTTGCTACCAGGTCCAATCGAGCAACGGCGGAAACAGATAGATGAAAAAATGGGAATGTCGAGGAGCAAGCTGTGAACATCTTCGGTGATCTTGAGGCGAACAAGGGTCAAACTGCGCAGGAATGGAAGAGTTGACACAAAACTGAATCGAGGAAGAAACGGCTCCAAGGCGCAGAGGAGTTTGACATCTCTCATCACATCGCGGTGCTTGAGCAAATAGTCGGACACATTGAGGGATTTGCTGTTGTTGTATTGAAGCAATGTCCCATGCTGGCTGGGGAACATGTTCACTTGAGAATACAGAAACTTGACGCCGATTTCATGCAGGTACCGACACGTGAACATCAAATTGAGAACGCCGTCTTCCTGGTCTTGATCGAAGCACAGAGTGAACAGGTGGTGCCAGACGTCGCGGGGAGCCCCATTCAAACAATCAGGGCTGTCCCGATCCGATGGGTTATGGAGGAGTGTCAGTGCGCCAGGCATGAGAGTCCTTCTGGGGTGGGTTAAAGATGCGGCTGAGAGAAGGCAGGTCATTTCCAGGTCACTATTTATATGGCTGCTGAGCACACTCACAGCAGAAGAGATGTGTCGGCCACAAAGAGAAGGGCAGATGTGCCACTGGTACCACACTTAAGGCGGCCACATGAGTGGTCAGTGTTCTTATGGCCTTTGGACATGGACGGTGTAGAGACAGGTGTGCAGTGAACAAGGCCCAGCTGTTGTTGTCACTTCCACAGGGCCAAGACCGTGGTCACCTTCACTTGTCTGAGTGATGCTGAACAAAGGAGCAACTTGGGTTTGTTGATGACGCTCAGGCTGAGCCAGTCTGATCCTACAAAAGGTGCATTCCTCAGAACCACACAGAGTGTCACAGTGCGATATCCTCATCACACACCTGTCGAATTACACCACGTTCTCCAACGGGCCATACCATCTTCCTCGACCCAGACTCGAGACACCCCTCTATATCGCCATCCGACCCTTCCAGTCCCTTGCTTTCGCCATGGTCAAAACCACCCTAAACGATGGCTGGTGTAAACACCACTTGAATATCTGTCGAGGTCCGGTTTGAGGTTATGTGCAAGGTAGAGGGCCGTGATACGCGTTCTCTGCGGAGAAGGCTTTGAATCGGGAAGGAGAGAGAGGTATCAAGAGTGGGGTGAAGTCGACTGCTTTCATCCCTCGGCCGTTCGGAGGAGTCTCACCAAACTGCTTTCTGCGAAAGCGCTGCTCAAGCTTGCGCAGTCGCCTCTGAGATAGGGTTAATACCCAAGTGAGGAGGATGGACGGCAGGATGTTTTCCATCACGGCGGCGAGATTCATCTAGGAGACATTGACCCCGGGAGAGTCGCAAGAAGCGGAAGATACGGATACGGGTGGGCGTGAGGGTGGGGATCGTGCGAAACGCAAAGGCCCAACGCAAAGGCCCAGAAAACGTAGGTTGACCCCTGACAAGCGACATCCCCAGAACGGCGAAACGCGTATACAAGCTACTCTTGATCAGTACTTAGGCCACAACACGAAGAGCCCTCGTACTGGTTCAATCACGACACCCATTCCTGCATTCTGGCCATTGCTCCTTCCTGCTCGTTCACCTCTTTCATGTTCCAACCAGACACTCTCCAGGTCGGCGTGTCCTTTCACTCTACGGAGTTTCCACCTTTTTAAACGGGTTCCCGATACGATAGCGAGCTGGATCTTCCGTTGTGGCTCACACGACCGCCAGCAAGAGGGGATATCTTCTGTCTTCGTTTCTCCAGGAGCTCTCACTTGCTCCTTTGTGAAGATTTACACCCAGAGAGCAACGGAAGAGGCGCGCCATGTTTTGTTTTTGTTGTTGGTGTGGTGGAACGGTGGTCGGCGGAGGAGAGGTGGTCGTAGCCTTCAAGTTGTGTGGTTTGAGCGGCACAACCACGCCAATGGGTGATCATATACTCACCGACAAGCCTGTATGCTCTGCGCGTCCTGCAGCCTGTTCCCGTTGGGGAGATATAGTATCATAGTGCGTTCGACATGGCGTCACGTCAGGCAAGCACCCAAGAATGATCATAATTAGCTAGATGGAGCTCGGAGGCAAGATGTATCCATAAAGAGCAGGACAGGTTGCGTCGAGGTAATCGGGTATGAGCTTTTGCCACTGTCACGCAGTGATGAATCGATGGTTGAGATACAAGGTTGATCCTGCTTTGCTCCCTCGTCAGTATATGTGCAGGAGATGCCGTGTCAGAAGTGGTATTGCATCAGGGAAGGGACGCGGTGAGGGTGACACGTCATATCACGCGGTCGACGCGTGGTACGGATCGCGGACGCGTCCGAAAAAGGTAATACTTAATTACAAGGACCCTAATTTAGAGTGTGCTGTGCACAAGCAAGGCAGTGAAGGAACATGTGTGTGCAGCTAAATTCCATATGCTATATAGGTACAAAGGGCAACATGAGTTGACTGCTCTGAATGTTTGCAACTGTGAAGTCTCAATTTTGGGGAACAAAATTAGGCTATCAGCTCATGTATGCACATGGGTCAATGCAGTATATAGCTGGCCATGAGAGAAGACATCAGTGCAACAGTCTAGTACTGTCTTATCAAGAGTGAGCCCTTGACAGCTATGAAAAGTAGTTGCATAAGCAAGATGAAGTGGCAGTTGTGTGCAAATCACTGTCCAGCTTGAATGTTGTGGTTGAAATGCAAAATGGATGTGGGGAATACAGAAGAGCTCTCTGCTCAGCTCATCATTAGGTGCTAGCAGTCGTACCTGAACAAAGTGTTGATTGAGTTTTTCAAGAACTACTCTGGCATTCTTGACCAAGCACTTTGCCACTGACAGGTTCCTCATGAGCAGGCAAATTGCCCCCACTTTGAATGTGAGGGCATGCAGAGGAATCCCTGGCATGGTGAGCATGTTTAAGTATTCAGGCATTTGTTCTTCATTATCCAGATCCAGGGCTTCTCCATCTTTGATTGAGTCAAGCAAAAGTTGTGAGTGTTCTTTTTTTTTTGCTTTGAGTCAGAAGATGCACCTTCATCTGATTGCAGCAACTCCAATGTCTGTGCATTGAATGTATCCACTGTTGCATTATGGGGGCTGAGAAATGCTTGACTTAAACACTGGACAGGGTCTTGCAGAATGTGTGGTGGATACAAAAAGTCAAGGACCATGTCAAGGTTAGATACTGGTTGAAGTAGAGGGAGCCTGACTTGTTCTCCAGAGGTGTCTTCTCCAATATAATCCACAAAGGCTGAAAATTCTGGGTCATCTCTATTGCACACTGGTGCATGGAGGCAGCAAATCTTAAACATAGGCCAGAGTGGGCTGGAGAGAATAGAGGCTTGTAGGGCTGCTGTTTCACCTGTTCCCTTGACCACTGGTGCTAGCTGACAGAAGTCTCCAAGGCCAAGAAATGGAAGACCACCAAAAGGGACATCACAGCTTGTAATACAACAACAAACCATGTCAATAGCTTCCACTGTTGTTTTATTGGCACCTGGCATCTCATCAAAAACAATTAAGCTGGCAGCATGAATAAGATCTGCCTGTCCAAAGGGTATTCAGATCTCAGAGAGAATACCAATGTGGTCCTAGTAGTAAAGATGAGAACACTGCAATTGTGAATGAAGAGAGACATGAATGTCTTTCACTGGAATGCAGAAGAGAGAATGCACTGTCTGGCCATGCTCATAAATGGTAGCTGCAATGCCTGTTGATGCAACCACCAAAACAATGTGTCCATTGCTCCTGAGCCAGGCCAAGAGTGTGTCCACCAAAAATGTCTTGCCTTGTCCTGGTTTGCCTTCAAGAAAGTAGGGGCCAAATGCATGGTCTTGATGTTGCGCTGTGAGTAGAGATGCACAAAGTTCATCATATACCACATGTTGTTCTTCTGTCAGCTGTGCATAGCCAATGCAAGCAGCCTCAGCCAACCACAGCTCCTGACCTGCAAATGCAGCAAGTTCTTGGGTGAGCTCCACTGAGTGCCTTGCAGGCTGCAGGAGCCCATAATATGATAGATCCTTTCCTACATCAGCAAAAATACCTCCAATAGAAAGAAGAGCCTGGTTATATGCTGTGACAGGTTGTGGGAGGTGCCAAAGAAAATCAGCTGAGAGATCCTCTCAAAATGTATCCCATAAGGGTGGAGCAGGATACCCTTCCAGAACCACACATGCAAAGAGAAAGCATAGTTGTGCTGGAGTACAAAGATCTGCAACAGCCTCTGGTAAAGCATAGTGTCCTTCATTATCATTATCAAAGAGGCCTTGGGCACATGCTGCCTCCACATATGAAGGATATCGAACACCATTCACCCAGTATAGCTCTTCATGGCTTTTTGCGGCCTTGTGTTGGAGTAAACACTGAAGGTAGAAGACATCCCCCAAAGATGGTGAGATGCTTTGCAAACAGGCATGGTGTTCTGTGGTTCTTCATTTGATCACTTTCTGTGGCATTCCTGGCTGCACTTCTTCAAGGAATGCACCAGGAGGGAGGTCTCCTTTCCATGCATCCAAGATATATCTTGAAAAGTATTCTGCATATAGCAAAGGGAGTAGGGCTGGATGGCGTGGACATGCAAAGTATCAAAGTAGTGTTGAGGCTGTTGACTGACCACCATTGTGTCGATATAATTGGCCATAGTTTTCTCCTTCTAGATGTACAGAGAGTTGTGTGATGCCAGGGATGTGTTTTGATATAGGAAAGCCAAAAATTCTCCAAGAAGCCTCACAGGCTGAGAGGTATTGACCTTTAACATAGTCATTGACCTCATCCCTAGGAGGACAGTTTGGATCCAGAATATTGAACATTGTGTTGTCTGGGCCTTTATAGAGATACTTGTAAAGGTAGATAAGACATGTGCTGAACTGACAATATCAGCATGGACATGGCAATCAAGCTCATCAATGAATAGAGGCATGTGTGATGAAATCCATTGGTCCCTCTCAGTGAAGCACTTGTACACTGCATGACCTTCTTTGTTGATCCAGGTATGGTCAGCAAGTGGTTGGGGGAAGTTATAGATGCATTTCCCATCATGATTACATTGATGGTATGTGTCTGGGCCAAGATGGTCTCTTGGGTGTGACATCCACCATTCAATCTTGGCTGCTAGTTGGGGTTCTTCCAGAATGTGACCACTGATTATGCAATCTATCTGATCTGGTGGGAGCTCAGGGTGGACCTAGCAATATAGGCTTCCATTAAACAAATACCTATACAGGCATGGCGTACCTTGAAAACTATATGTGCATGGGGTAGGCCACATTTCTGAAACTCTGCCACTTGGATAATGTACAGGAGTTTGCCGAAGTGCTGCTGTAATAGGTGATTGTTAGGGCAACACAGGCTGACTGAGTCTGCTCACCTAAGAGTGCCAAGAGTCTAAGCAGGCAACAAGGAAGTGGAGTAGACCTGATGACTAAGACCTATCTACAGTATAGGTACCTGTGGATGATCCTAAGAGACCAAGTCTGAAGAGACAGTCTCCAGGCAGAGTAGGCCTTATATTTATACCTCTGTGGTGGAACCTGCTAGAACATCTTGCTTACTCACCCTAGTCAGGTGATCAGGTCATATGACCAAGGATGAGGTCATATGAGGTCATGCACAGCCATGCACAGCAGGTCACCTGACCATCCAATCCTTCCAGCAGGTTCCAGCACATGCCAAGGCATACCAGCTACTTCCATGTCATAAAGGCTTAGTCATGTCTC